TCCCTGTCACCCAGGATGACGCCAGGGGCTCCCCGAACATTTTCCTGTTTCCCTGTCCATGATCCACCTCCCACACAGTGATCTTTGTGAACAGCAAGTCACAACACACCCTTCTTCAACTCTCCAGTGCTGGCCGGTGGCCCCTACACCAAAACCTAAACTCCTCTGTAACACAGCCAACAAGCCAGCTCGCTGAGGCCTCTGATTTCAACCTGAAACACTTCACTCAAACATGGGAAGCTCATCCCTACCCCAGGCCATTTGCATCAGTTGTTCTCGTTTCTGGGAACGCTCTTTCTCTAGAACTTTACATGCTTGCTTCCTTCTCATTGTCAGAGTTCAGCCTAAACTCCTCCCCCAGCAAGCCCTTGCCTGGCCTCTCTGTTCTCTATCTCATCACTCTATAGCTTTTTTAAAATTTTTTTTTTAATTTTAATTTTTTTTGACAGGCAGAGTGGACAGTGAGAGAGAGACAGAGAGAAAAGTCTTCCTTTACTGTTGGTTCACCCTCCAATGGCTGCTGTGGCCGGCACACCATGCTGATTCGAAGCCAGGAGCCAGGTGCTTCTCCTGCTCTCCTATGCAGGTGCAGGGCCCAAGCACCTGGGCCATCCTCCACTGCCCTCCCGGGGCCACAGCAAAGAGCTGGACTGGAAGAGGGGCAGCCGGGACAGAATCCAGCACCCCGACCAGGACTAGAACCCGGTGTGCCGGTGCTGTAAGGCGGAGGATTAGCCTATTGAGCTGCGGCGCCAGCCACTCTATAGCTTTTAATTTGATTTAATCATCTGGCTGCCTACTTACTGTCTGTCTCTCCCCACTAGAACGGAGCTACTAGTAGGCCACGGGATTGGATTCTAATCTCCAGGTCCTGGAATATTATCTGTCATACAGTGGTGCTTGAAACGTATTTCCTGAACTTCATAAATACATTCCACTTGAGCCAGTCTCTTGCTGAATCCTATAAGATCTTACTGTGCCTCACCTCCCAGCTCCACAGCCTTGTTCAACTCCTCCCTCCCCTATCGAGCCTGCCCTCTTACCAACATTGGACTTGAAATCTTGGAGACTGAACCGCGCTCCAAGTCTTTCAGAGACCTCGGAGACAATCCACTGGGTCCGGGAAATGGGGAATTTGAATGAGACACAAGGAAGGACTTCCTGAACAGTGCTGACCGCAGGACTAGGTCCCCAGGAGGGAAGGCAGTGGTCAGCATGGCCGATCTACAGTGAGGAGTCAGCTGCATTCGGCCCAATAGCTCGAGCCCCTTGGCTTAAAATCATCTCAAATCCTCACACCCTCAACTGTGCTTTTCTACCCTAAGCCCCGAGACAGCCCCGCCTTCTTTCCAAAGAAGCCCTGTTGTGCCTGGCTGGGTGGCCACTGTCAGAGGCCTGGCCCCTGCTGTCGCTGCCTGCCAGCCTGCCGTGTGCCCGACACGGCTCCTGTTACAGGCGCTCCCAAGCCTGTGTGTGGAGGGTCGCTGTTTCAGACCCTGCGCTGGTCCCTCAGGGGCCCTGCCGTGACGTGATGGAAGAGTTCAAGTCTCAGCGTCCGGCCCTCCTTCTGCCCCTGACCCTCCGCAAGGACACCCTAACAAAGAGCCTCAGTAAGGCAGCAGCCTCTCAAGATGTGTGCTGTTCCCCTGCTCATCCTGTCACCTCGGTGCTGCTTTGTCATCAAAGTCGGCGCGGCCAGACAGCTGCGCACACGCACACACACACACATATGAGGTCTCGCACACAGAAAGGACTCCTGCATGGTCCCTGGTGGTCCCTCCTAACTCTGGATTGGCTTTGTCCTTCCTCCTCCTCTGCCTGGAGGACACTGTGCTTAACTGGGTGAAGACTGCATAGCTAGAGGGGCCCGCCAGGGGCTCGGGGACCAGGTCCCAACCCACCTCATTCTGCAGGGCAGGAGACTGAGTGTGGCCCGGGGCTAACAGGTGGCCGATGAGCAGGCGTGTGGACTCAGTGGGGGAGAAGCAGGCCAGGCTGGGTGCCTCCTCCCGGACAGCTCCCCGCAGAGGAAAGGCGGTGGTGATGAGAGCTGCAAGCTGGGAGCTGACCCCCTGCCTGAGTGAAGGAGGCAGGAGGCCACCATGGGGGAGGGGAGGCGTCCAGGCTCCAAGGAGGTCCCACCTCCACGAGGATAGGGAAGCAGGCATGTGTCCTGAAGGGCAGGATGTGGGCACGGGGTGGAGGGTGGAGGGTGAGAGGCAGGGAGTTCCCAAGAGGTAATTCATGCTGCCTCCTCCTCCCACCAGGGCAGTCCCAGCGCCCCTCCCCCAGTGGAGCAGAGGAGTGTCCTGTGAGAGATGTCCTGGGTCAAGGCGGGGATTCTCGACCTCCACCCCTAGTCCTGGCTTTGAGACCCCTGAGGAAAGCAGAAGACCCGTAATGTGCCGCTCACATGCCTCGGCCCCCAGAGGGGTTAGGCAGGCTTGCAGAGATGCAAAGCCAGGGTCCTTTAGGGCGGGAGGCTCCCAGCTGGGACCCCAGCTCCTTTCTTGGTGTGGGCCTGGCTGACTGTGCCTTTGGGCAGCCACTTTCTATCTCTTGGATATCAGTTTCTCCTCCGACTTGCCTTGTCCTGATTGGTAAGCAGAGGCCCCTTGAGTTCTTGAGCCCTGTGCCTAACCCAGAGAGAGAGAGAAGTAAGGGGCCTATGGCGCCAGCTGTGGAGGCTGGGGGCTGGTTCCTGCTGGGCTCATGCCAGGGCACCAAGAACTGGCCCTGGGAGCTCACCGGACATCCCAGGCTCAGGCCCCCAGCCTGTCTGCTCCGGCACTGGGCTTCCTAAATACTCCCGGTCTGGGGTAGCAGGGACTCTGCGGCCCGTGCAGGACCACGTGCCCGCTGGCCCCGTTCCTGAGGAGGGTCGGGCACAGTGGCATCCCTGTCACCCCTCAGGGAGCCTCTTTTGGGGCCATCACCCTTGGACTGAGAGAAGAGCTCAGCTTTTTCCTTCTCCCTGGGCATATCCGGAAGAGACAGACCTAGTCACAGCCTCACGGTGGGGGTGGGAGTGGGGGTGGGGGAGCAAGAGTCAGCCGGCTGGTTTTGTGGTCAGGGTCCTGCCCCTCCCTCCCCAGGGGAGCCAGAGATGGAAGGGCTGCAGCCAGGGGCTCGGGGAGCTGCACAGAGCCTGGAAGGAAAATGAAGGTGCGTGACTCCTCCCTGGAGCTGGAAGCGATGCACCTGCAGGCGCTTTTGTCCACTGAAATGTGAGCACTGCCCTCTCGGCCAGGAGCTCCTCGGGCGCGCGCCCGTGTTTGTGTGTGTGTGTGTGTGTGTGTGTGTGTGTGCACGCGCGCGCAGGCGCGCGCACACGGCAGCCGCTGTCATCACAGATGTACCCCCAGCTGTCACTCCATTGCTCTGGCTCTGCTCGCGCACACACGCGCTTTTCACCCTCTCCCCTTCCCCCCACCTCCTCTCGGTCTCCCTCCGTCCCTCCGGCTTTCCTTCTCAGTTTGTTATTGACCCAGCAGCCGCCTGGGGCATCCCCCCTCCCCGCGCTGGGTGCTGCACTCCAGGTCCCTGCTCCGGGGGACGGGGGACTCCGGCAGCCCTGCTCACTGCGCTCGGCTGGCAGTGGTGCCTGCATTCTTTCGGGAAGCCTGGGGGGGTGGTCTCATTGGATGGGTCAGAGTGAAGCAAGGTGAGTGCCAAGCAGCTGGTGGGGGAGGATGCAGGGCTGGGGGCAAGGATGGAGGGTGGCTGGGCATGGGCACTGGGGACCATCTTTGCTGGGTCTCTGCCCTGCAAGACATAGCAGCTGTTGCCTCCTGCCTGAGGGCAGCTGCTGGGGCCGGGTGTCCTGAGAATGCCAGACACTGGGCTCTGACCCCACAGTGCTGGGGACTGAGCTGTGGGTTCTGCCAGGAGAGGGGAGGGAGAGGGGGAGGAGGGCAATGCGGGTGCCAGATGACAGCCCCCCGGTGGCATGGAAACTGGTCCTGCAGCACGGGGAAGCGGCCAAGAGCCGGTGCTATGTGCATGCCCTGCTCTGCACAGGAGCCCCGAGGAACTCGGGCGCTTCGGGAAGGGGGTGGGTCGGTGCTAGTGATGGGGCTGAGAAGAAGGCTTGGGTGGGTGGCAGGGTGGGCTCCACCACGGGGGCTGTGGGACTGCAGTTGCTGGCTGTCCTTGGACAAGGGTGCAGAGGAGCCGTGCCCAAGCTGGCCACAGGTCCAGGCAGCTTGGGTAAAGCTTCCCTGGTGTGGGCGTGGCTGAGAGTGGACCAAGCCTGCGCCCCCTGCTTCCAGCTCACCTGAGGACAGGACAAGGGAAGCTTGGACAAACCCTTGTGGGTTGTCCCAGCACAAAGCCCCGGCCTTGCTGCAAATGGGTCAGGGTCCCGAGCCAGGGCTGTGCCTCAGCTTAGAGGGAGGCCAGGCCATGCTGACCTGGTGCCCTGACCCTGGGAGCATGGACACTGTGAGTTGGAGTAGGACAGTGGCACTCGGTACCTCTAGTCCCATTTAGACAGCGCTGGACACAGGGACAGCCTGACCGGAGTCTGCCATTCAAATCCGCACTGCCCTGCAGGTCTGGGGGTAGGGGGAATCTGCCGGCTGTTGCCCGCCTCCCCCCTCCCCGCCCTGCTGTCAGAATTTCAGGGGTGGTGGTGATGTGGGCACCTGGGTGTCAAGGCTTGTTGGGCAGATTGACACCCTGCGAGCTTAGATAACCGCATCAGGTGGGGGTGGGGAGGGAGCCAAGCACGTGGAGCCAGGCTGGAGGGGAGGTCCAGCTGGGAGGAAAACCCAACAGCAGCCCCCTCCCCCCTCACGGGCACACACACACACACCGGAAGAGGGAGCCCAGGAAAGCCAGGCTGGGGGGTGGGGGAGAGGGAGAGAAAGAGGGGCCCCTCAGGTCAGCCATCTGCTTTCATCCAGGTTTGCCTGGAAGCTGTGCCTGGGTCCAGGACGCAAGCTGAGGGGTCCCGTGGGGCTGCGTGGGTGTGAGTGGGTGGCAGGGGAGGGGTGTGTGGGTGGTGGCTGGGGTGTCTGGAGGGCTGTGGGGGTGCATGGAGGAGGAGGGAGCTAGAGCAGAGGCACCTGTGCCCTGTCTGGGTGCCCCTCCTTCTGTCCCCAGGCCAGGCCTTCCCTGTCCCTCGCTGCGGCCCCACCCTGAACCCAGCCTCAGGCAGTGCTGAGTGACTTAGGGGACTTCTCTCTTATGCTTCTCAGAAAGTCTGTTTGGGATTGGGAATATATGACAAGGAAATGAGGGTGCAGGAAGCTGGGGGTGAGAATGGGGCGTGTGTTTTAAAATGAACCAGGAGGGTATATGTCTGTTCCAAGTACAAATATAGAGGTTTTTATAAAAGCTCCTTCCCTGCTGCCTGGGCAGTGCGGGTGTGGGGTGACGGGCAGGGAAGAGAGCTAGAAGGTTTCCTAGAAGGGCCTGGGCGGCCAGGCAGGTGGTGGCAGGTGCTGCCTCCCCACAGGGGCTCTGGCTCCTGTCCAGGCTCCCTGCTGCCCTTCTGGAGAAGGGAAGGCATGGTTCCTGCTGGCCCAGGTGCAGCCCCGGTCCTGGCTCTGCACTGCTGGTGCTGGAAGCGCGGCCCAGCTGCAGATGGAAGAGAGGTGGAGTAAACTGCGCAGGCCCTCCTGTGCTCTTGTGTTCTGGGAGTCTTTGAAGCTGGGGGTGTGCAGAGGACTTGTCCTGAGTCAGGGACCCTAGGCCAAGGGATGACGGCAGGGCAGGGCGCAGTGGGAGTGGGGAGCCCCTGGGCGCTCAGTGGCTCAGACACTTGGCTTGCAGGGATAATGACAAAGGTGTGGGAGGAAAGGTGTGGACGCCTGACGGGCATGGGGTCATTTGCTGGGGTCTCTAGCCAGAGTGTGCAGGCTTCGCCTCTGCTGATGCTGACCTCGGCAGCTCCCTGGAAGCAGCACCCACCCCCTAGTCTCCAGGGGGTGCTGCAGCCCACTCAGCACAGCAGGGCACGTGCTCTCACTGCTCCCACTGCTGCCTCCCGCTCATCACTGTCTCCCCAGCCCAGCTTCCCTCACCCCAGCACACCCCCCCCCAGAACAGCTTTGAGACAGCCCCCTCCGCCTGCTCCCCCCACCAATGAGCTCCTGTCACTACCGCGCCTGTGTCTGCTGGAAAGGGGGCGGCTGGGAGCGGGGACATGGCTTGCTACTCAGCCCAGCCAGTCACAGGGCTTGCTTCTTCCTGGGTGAGCGGGGTAAGAGCAGCTGGCTGTGCCCAGTGAGGCGAGGGCTGCGCCAAGGAAGGCTTGCGTGGCCCTCCCTGTGCCCAGCCGCCCCCGCCAGCCTGTGGCAGGCACCCCCACAGGAAAGCAGGTCAGGAGCAGACCAGAAGCTTACAAAGGCCACTGAGTCAGTAACTCAGCTTGGGCTCAGTTCTGTCCTTCCATTTGTCTAACTCAGGCTAGTGACTGAACATCCTGTGCCTCAGTTTCCCCACCTGCCAAGTGGAGTTAACAACCCTAGGTTTGTGGCTGTGGACACTGTCTCTCCTGGTACAGACGCTTCCTGGAGCAGGTGCTGTTCCTTGGCCATGATGGCCCCGGGGACAGACGGGTGCAGCCTGCAGGGGGTTTGCCCCTGTCTGGGAGATGCTTAGCCTAGGACTTCTCAAACTTGAACATGCAAGCAAATTACCAGGGGTTCTTGTTAAAAACACAGATTCTGAATTTCTAAGTGGCTCCTAGGCCATACTGACACTGCAGGTCCATGGGCTACACTTTGAGTAGCCAAGGACTGGAGTCAAAGCCTCATGTTTCTGGATTTTTCTAAGGAGCTTTTAGCTCCTTAACCTTCTCCAGTCTGCAGCAGGGTCCAGGAAAGAAGGTCCGGGGGCCTTGGGTGGGAGGGGGCCCTTCCCTCTGGTCCCTGTGTCTGGACAGGGACAAGACCCAGGTAAGGATGAGGAGCAGCCAGCATTGCAAGCTGACAAGGCCATGGGCCTTGGAGACAGGAGAGCTTCCTGGCAGGGCCCTCCCCCCATCTCTTCTCTGTCCCCAGCAGACGGCTCTCATGCATTCCAGCAGCTGGCCAGCACCTGCTGCAGCAGCAGCTCCCCACACTGCTGCTGTAGGTCACCCCTTTTGCAGAGGCTTGGCTCTTCTGGGGTGGAAAGGGACCCTTTAGGTAGAAGCGCGCTGTGGGGCAGAGGGTTAAGGGCCAGGAAGTGCAGCTTCCAGCCCCACATCTCCCTGAGGGTTTTTCCAAGGGTCCACACACACACTTGTGATTCGTCCCCAAGCTGGGCAAAGCTGCTCTCCCCACTCTTGGGAAGTCCCAGGGGCTGACGGAGGCAGGGTGGGCCACCAGAGCGCACAGGGCAGCTCCGCACAATTCCTCACCAGTGTTCTGCCCCCCCACAAGACAGTGCCTGTGGGTCTGCACCGTGGGCACTTGCCTGCCATTTTCTGTGCGCGTGACATGCCCCAAGTCACATGTGGGCATCAGCACCTGAGCTCAAGGTCCCCTTCTCCACTGAACAGCTGTTAGCTGGCTGTCCCCAGGGCTCATTAGTGGGGGTGGCTCTGGACAGGGAGCTGGAGAGGAGGAGGGCAGGAGCCCCAGGTGGAAGTGGAGCCTGAGCTTTAGAGGCGGTGGGGGGAGCTTCTGCAGGAAGCCAGGAGGAGTGGAAGGAGCAGAGCCTGATGCGGTCTCCAGCCCGCTGTGAGCCTGAGCATGGGCAGCTTCCTGGGTCAGGGGCTACCCGCAGGCGCCCTCCAGGCTGCAGGTGTCTCTCTCCATCTGTGTGCTAGGGGCATCGGGGAACACTGCCACTAAGTGCTGGGTTGTGTCAGAAAGGCACGCATGCATGTGCGGCTGCACTTGCACGTGTGTGTGCATATGTGTACAGCCGTGGCAGCATATGCGTAATGGCACAGCCCTCCGAGTGTGTGTGTGTGTGCCTGAGGCCTGTGTGTGCGTGTCCTCCCAAGGCCGTTGCTGGGTGACCTTGGCAGAGGAGTGGATGAGCAGCTGGCAAAGGGGCCTGCAATCCGTTCTCAGCCTCACAGGTGACGCAGGTGAGGGCTGCTGACCTGGCTGATGTCTTGGAGATGCCTGTGGGCTGGACCTGAGAGGTTGTTTGAGGTCAAGCTCCAAGGGCACAGAGTGGAGGCTGATGTCTGGGAAGGTGGTGCGTGAGTGTGAGGGGCAAAAGGAGACCCAACACAGAGACCCACTGGTGTGAGCTCTGGGTGTGAGCCCACGCAGCAGGGGCTGGGGGGTGGGGTAGGGTGGGTGTGCTCAGGAGGCTGGTGGGAGGAGCTGTGGCGTTCACCTGAATTTGGTAAATGTTCACGCGCAAGTTCCACCAGTGAGGTACCGCAGTCATAGGTTCTAGAAATAAAGGCACTTAGGCCTGCAGTTTACACAGTCTGTTTAAAGGAGCCTCCGGATGGGGATTTGAACCCAGGACCCTACTGCCTGCAAACCTGAGCGGGGAGCCTGCCAGGGCCTGCCTCTGAGGGCAGCTAGGCCACTCCTCTCCATCCCAGGTGCTCGGGATCCTAGCACAAGGCCATGTAGGGACCGGGCTGCGCCCCACACCCCTCTTCTGAGCCGGTGCAGGCGGAGGTCGGGGACGCGGCGGAGGCGACGGCCGGCAGAGGGCGCTAGTTTCCGGAGCCCGCCGCGCCGGCTGACGACGGAGCCGACCCGCCTGAGGGGCACCGCCACGGCGCGGCCCGGGGGGAGCGCAGGCTAGGGGATTGGGAGGGGCGACCGCAGCAGTCGCTGCAGGACCCTCGCGCCCGAGGTTGCAGCTTCGCACAGGCCTGCGGAGGGCGGCAGCCGGGAGGCTGCCAGCGCCCTTCCCCAGGGGCGCGTTGGGCGACCTGGGAGGGTCAGCCAACCGGGAGCCCAGAGCCCTGGGCTGAGCAAGGGTGTCCTTGGGCTGTCCGCGGAGGGGCGGGCGGGGAGACGCGCCGGGCCCCGCTCTGACGCCATCTGCCGCATCTGGAAGGGAGTGGGGACCCAGCGGAGGGCCTGTGGAGGCGTAGGAGACCTTGGGGTGGGGTGAGCCCGCCCTCTTCGTCCCCTCTGGCAGAGCCGCCTGCTCCCCAGCCCCAGCCTGTTGCCAGCCCTCCTGCCCTGGCCCCTGGCCCTGCTGCCGGAGCAGGTGCGCAGCCTGGCGCCTGAGCCCAGTCTTCTCACAGACCTGCCGGCGAAGACGGAGCCCCGCAGTCACCCCAGATGCCCTGAGCTGATGAGGCTCAAAGACCGACTGCCAGAAGACGCAGCCCTGCAGTTCACTCCTAAGGCGCCGGCGGAGGCGGGCGCAAGAGGCCACCCCGCGGCTTCCAGTGCGCCCACCACAGGCAGACGCTGCCAAGGGCCCAGCCTCTGCCTGCCCGGTGCCATGGTAAGCAGCCCTGGGCTGGGGGCAGGTGTAGCTGTGACCTGCCACCTCACCCTGCCTACCCACGAGAAACGTGCCTCAGTCTCCCCACCCGAGGGGCCATCGCAGACGGAGGAGACAGCATTGCTGTGGAAACATTTAAGACATCGACATGCCAGAGAGACGGTGCGAAGTGGCAGGGAGAGACTGGGGGGGGGCGGGGGTCACAGTCCACCAGCCGCCAGAGGAGCCCTGTCTGACCCTGGCCCCTGCAGCACCCCAGGGAGGCGGAAGGTTTCCTGGCCTCTTTCTGCTCCCTTGTACCTCGTCTTCCCCGCCCAGGGAATTGTAGCTGAGAGGAACAGGAGAGGAATAAGGGTGTAAAGAGACACCCGGGCCCTCTCCCTAACCCCTGGGCTGGAACGGGGCCTGGCTCAGCTCCCTCCCACTTGCCCTCTCCCTCTCCCTCTCTCTCCCTCTCCCAGGACTGACTGGCAGTGCACGCCGAGGGGCTTCTCTTTCCCCAGAGCTGCAGGGCCCAGCGAGCCGTGGGGTCCACCATGCTGGCGCTGTGCAGTGGCCCCGAGCAGAAGACCAGGCTGGGCGGGCCGTGGAGAGTCTCCTGTGAGTACGCCCTTGGCGGGGTGGGGTGCGCGGTGGGGGCCTGCAGCAAGGTCTCAGATCTCCGCAGGATGCCAGGGCCTTGCTCTGGGCAGCCAGGGTTAGGTCCTTGATAACAGCGTCCATGGCAGCAAGGAAACGCTGGGGGCGTCTGAGGTCAGGTCAGGAGCTGGAGGCCACACTGGTGAGTCTGTCTCGTCCTTCCCCGTGCTTTGGGTTCGAGGATGGCAACATGAAGAGCTGCGTCCTGCTGGAGACCAGCCAGGCCTCCTGGGTTTTAAGTGGAATCGATGTTGTCGGAGCGTGTCCACCCGTGTTTAGCCACGAGTGCGGAGGCTGGAGGTCTGCCCCTCCCAGCCCGGGCCAGGCCCTGCTCCCTGGTCTTGCCTCTGAAACCTTCTCTCGTGGTCTTTACGCCTCCGTCCTCCCAATTCCACACAGAGGCGCGAGTGGGCTCTCGGGATGCGTTAGTGACTGGGCCCGACCCGTCTGCGCATGGGCAGACTGAGGCCTCCATGTGCCAGGAGGAGGAGTCCATGTCCGTGAAGGCAGCACTTGTCAGTTGTCAGGGCGACAGACACCCCAGAACGCTCGCTCTCTGAGGCAGAGACAAGGTCAACCCCAGCTGGCTTGCCCAGGGCTATGAGACGAGAGGTGAGGTTATTCTGCCTGACTTCTCTCCGCGCCGGGCGGCCGGTGAGCTGGCCGCCTCACCACACAGGCCCCTGAATAATTCACCGCGTGGGAGTGGCTGATCCCCAAGCCACTCAGCTCCCTTTCAACCTCATTCTAGAATCAGTCAACACCTTGCAATACAGGATTACGGTTTCTTGTCTCCAGAGCTTTCGGAGGTCTCTGGTCTTCCAGGGCATGGGCCGGGGCAGGCAGGGAGCTGCGCTCTTCCAAATGCTGTCTGCGCCTACTGCCACCAGTCCCTCCCTTGGGAGGGGCCAGTGGCTTCTCCGATGGTGGATCCTTTCCAGATAAGGCAGCTGGCTTGGATTTTTTTTTTTCTCCTCTGGAGAAGGTTGATTTTCACATGGCGTGGGGTGGGGTAGTGTGGAGCAAGCTGACCTGGCGAGAGGGTTGGAGGTAGCAGTGGGTGACCCCGGATGGCCAGGAGGCACCGGGCCTGTGCTCATTTCCTGTCGAGATCAAAGAGGTTCAGGTGTCAGCGTGGCAATGTGTCCCTCACCTGTCACCGATCCTCCAGGCAGGGCGGGCGGGGGACAGTGTCCCCCAGCCCTGTGGGACATCAGACGACCAGACGCCGACCAGACAGAGACTCAGGGCTGTCCCATGCAGGCCCTCAGGTGTTTGTTCTTGGTTTTTAACATTCCAAAAACTTATTTAATAGAGTGTTCTTCATGGCACCTCTTGGGATGTAAATAGAACTTGATGGAAAGTTCATCCTGATGATGAAAGACGCAGGCCTGAGTGAGGCCGCGTCCCGACTCCTCCCCAAGCTCTAGTAGATGTGACTAAAACTCCGTGGGGCCACAGAGCACATTCGTCTCTCCAAATGGGGGCCAGGTGACCCCTTCTGGAGAATCATTTACAGCACTGGCTCCCCATCGGCCACGCTGGCCCGGGCAGTCACAACCGCATGCTTTGGAACCTACCAGGTCTGCAATCTGCTATCTGAAGGGTGCTTCGGTCCACTACCACTTCAGTGAGGGGCAGTGGCACCCGGCGGCCCCGCTGCCCAGAGTCCTACCCTCTGCTAACAGCACTGGGCCTCAGTGCGGGCTGATTCCAGCATCGTGGCAGGTACTCACCACATCCTTAGGGGACTCAGGCCTCTTCCGTAACCTGTGTGGCTGAGGCCACCTGGGCTGTGGACTGGGTCTGCACTTCCCTGCCACTTCCCCAGCGATGGTTTCTCCTCGGGACCTGGTGGAGCTGACCTGGTGGGCAGACCAGTGTTGAGCTCCCTGGGTTCCTTCCACAGGGAGGTCACTTAGGGAGGGCTTTGAGGTCGCTTCTAGGAAAGGCTGGAATGCCGGCGGCTCTGCTGTGACCGTTTGCCCAGGGTCACTCTCCCCAGTCCCTGTGCACAGGCGGGCCTCATGCTTGCCTCTTGGGGGCCTTGCACAAGAAGACAGGGCCATGAAGGGAAGCCCAGCCATGACCATCGTGCGGGGAGGCTGAGCGCATGGACGGTTCCCCATGACAATGAACGTGGAGCTCCTCCTGGGCCCCCCGGTCTGGCGAGCGCAGTGCGATTGCCCATCTTGTCCTTGTCATGTCCGCCGTGTGCTCTGGTGCAGGACCCTAGGTGGGCCTGGAGTCCCGATCCTCACACGAAGTCTCTGGTGCTGTCTTGGAAGTGGTGAACATGACAGCCCTCAGGAAGCTATAGGGGACAGGGCGAGGAGGTCCCCTCGGGGCTCTCCCCTCTCCGTACGTGTGTCCTCGCCCCCTGCAGCCCCAGGTTGGGTCTAGAACGCAGAGCAAGGGCCTCCGCAGTGCAGCCGTTTTGGAAGGAGACACTCTTGCTCCTCACATGGGACAGGTTTCCCTGATAGCCTTAGACACTTGCCCTTGATTGTGTCAACATCTGTGGTGTCCAGGGGACCCAGGCCCCTCAGGGAGCTGAGCCGAGGATACCCTGCGAGCTGGGGTGACCCATGTGTCACACTTGACTAAAGCAATTTCTTCGTCTGCTACACAGCTGACACGGTGTGCTGTCTGTGGATGTAGAAGTGGCTTTGGGTTTAATTATCATTTTTCATGGTTAGTAAATGTTTGCACACTGATTGTGGCTTGTGCCAAAGCAGATGTAGCCTCGAAGCTGTTATGCTGTGAACTGGAAGGGAGGGGCTGGAGGCAGGAGGTAGTAACCTCAGTTTGTGGCTTTCTCTCCACTCCCCCCGCCCAGGGATCACCTGCTGGATCGCCCTGTGCGCTGCGGAGGCCCTCCCCACCTGCCCTTTCTCCTGTAAGTGTGACAGCCGCAGCCTGGAGGTGGACTGCAGCGGCCTCGGCCTCACCACGGTGCCCCCGGACGTGCCCGCCACCACCCGAACACTCTTGCTCTTGAACAATAAGCTGAGCACCCTGCCAAGCTGGACCTTCGCCAACCTGTCCAGCCTGCAGCGGCTGGACCTGTCCAACAACTTCCTGGACCAGCTGCCCCGCTCCATCTTCGAGGACCTGACGAATCTGACGGAGCTGCAGTTGCGCAATAACAGCATCAGGACCCTGGACAGGGACCTGCTGCAGCACGTGCCACTGCTGCGCCACTTGGACCTGTCCATCAACGGCCTGGCCCAGCTGCCCCCTGGCCTTTTCGATGGACTCCCGGCTCTGCGCTCCCTCTCCCTTCGCTCTAACCGCCTGCAGAGCCTGGACCGGCTGACGTTTGAGCCCCTGGCGAGCCTGCAGCTGCTGCAGGTGGGAGACAACCCCTGGGAGTGCGACTGTAACCTGCGTGAGTTCAAGCACTGGATGGAGTGGTTCTCCTACCGAGGTGAGCGCGCCAGCCCCAGCCGGCTGTGAGGGACAGGGAAGGGCACTCCCGGAGACTGGGGTGAGGTCAGGGGACAGAGAGGGGTGACACTGCCTCTCTGCCAAGTTCACTGCACGAGTCACGAGCCTTGCACCAGGAAGCAGGGGGCTGGCTGCTGTGCCCCCCTCCCTCCCTCCCTGCTCCCTTTTCTGCCTGGGACCTCTCTGCTGCCTCCTCGTTCTCTTTGACATGGATCTGTAACTTGCTCTCACCTGCACAGATTTAAAGAGGGAACTTAAAGACACACCCCACCAGCTATGTCTCTGGGCATCCCTTGCCGGGTTGGAGGAGGAGAGGAAAGTGCCCTTCCTCTGAACGACACAGCTGTCTCTTAAATATCCACCTTTCAGGAGGGGGCGCGCAGCTGAACCCCGCCTGGGAAACCCAGTTTTCCTTTTGACGGTGGTGCCAGCTTCTTCTCCCAGGTTTTGTTATCAGCACTGTGAGTCAGAAGCCAGATGGTTTTAGTTTTACTTTCTTCCCCTTTCACCTTTCTTAAACTTGCTGATGAGCTAGGAAATGACCAGACGGGACACACAAGGTGACACAGAAGTGAGCCCAGTGGTGAAGGTGCTGGTCGGGGGTGGAAGTGGGGTTGTGCCGCCTGTGAGCTGTGCACTCTTGAGAAAGTGGACTGGTCTCTCTGTTGCGGCGCCTCCTCTGTAAAGTGGGTAGGAAAGCAGTGTCTGCCTGCCAGGACCCCTGTGAGGATTAAGTACAGTAACGCAGGCAGAGGCTTGAGAGGCAGCTGGGGCAGTCAGCCCTCGATCGCACACTCATCCGTGTGTCCATTGCTAGCAGTGGTCAGCACATCGATGGACTTGACGAGACATGGTCTGGTGCCCTGCACTGAGCAGATGCTGAATGAGTGCTTACTCAATGAGTGAACGGATAGCAAATCTCTGAACGCTAACGCTTTTCTTTAAAGTCTCACTGCTTTCGTTTTGGGACCCAGTGCCGCTCCCGGGGAGTTCCATGCCACTCCTATGTGTGAGTTAGCTGAAGAGCCCTTACAAACTGTAAAGTGCCATGTGAGTCACTGCGCTGATGTCTTGCTTTTGTATCAGCGAGGAAATAATGATTAATACTGGTTATGTAGCTTCTAGTTTACAAATATCTTTCCCTGTATGGCACTATTTTGATCCTTCCGGCTGGCTGCTAGTTGAGATAGACATTCTTATTTTACACTAAGAAAAGTTGAGACCCACCGTCATGAGATAAGTTAAAGAAGCATGACACAGCCAGGGTTCCGTCTCGGGTCTTCTGAGACGGTGCGTCTCAGAACCCAGCCCTCTGCCAGGCGCAAGGTCACCAGGTGTGGGACTTGCGGAGCCCACCCAGGCAGCCAGCGGCCCCAGCAGCTAGGGGCCAGGTTCCCTTCAGACCCAGGCCCGCGTGATGCCCTTAGCACACATCCCTACCCTTCCCTAATTCCAAGCACAAAGGGGCAGGCAACGGGAACCGACTCTTTCCAGATCCTCTTAACAGGAGAGTTGCTTTCAACCTTGAACTCCTTTCAAAACAAATCCTGGGAAGTTTTTCACCAGCATCCCAGGGAAAGACTGAAGTCTGCTGCATGAGGACACCATGGCGGCTGGGCCGACAGTGATGGAGCAGCTGGAGCCCGGGCCTTACAGAAGGTGTCTCCCGCCTGGGTCTGGATTTCACCCGAGGCTGAAAACGGGCCCAAATCCAAACTCCGCTCCCTAGGGGACATCTTGGCAAGCTACTTTCCCTAGCCACTGCCTCTCTCCCCACCCCAAGGCTGCTGCTCTATCTGTCTGTGACCAGGCCTGGTTTGCCATTGTCCTGGGGAGCCTGTGTGCCCACTGCTGTGTGCCCATCAGCCTCTTGTGTCTCCAGGATTTCCCGCCAAGATGCCCTCGAACTCAGAGGCTCTGGCTGGGACTTGGAGGGGCTGCTGGATTGCTCCTACACAGGAGAGCAAGGGCACCCAACTTGTTTCTCCCCTATCCGAGGAGGCATTCTTCATAGACGGCCGGCATGTCCTGCCTGGAGAGCACTGGCGGAGGCACTGGCTTAGGACTTTTGTGCTTTTGAGAGGGAAGACCCCTGGGGGCTGGGCTGCTGTGTTCTTGCTGCAGGGGGCAGCAGGCAGAGTCCGGCAGGGAGAGAGCGGCCCTGTAGTCCACGAGGGATGGCTGTGAGCATCCTCCCACGTCAACCTCGGCTGCCCCAGGAGGCTCAGCCTGCCCCTGGGGGTCGGTTGAATTGGCTGTGTCCTTCTCCATAGATGGGAATAATGACAATGTCCATTTTGCATGGCTTCTGCAAGGACTGAATGGCATGACCTGTAACTCCTCCACCAATACCAGCTTCCCTCCTTCCTTTGCTCGCCTAGCCTTGGATTCTAGGATTGATGGCATTGCTGATAGAAACTTCTGGGCTCTCCATTTGGAGGAGCTGAGGGTGGGAGAAGGGGTCCAGTTCCGGATGCCTGCTCAGCCCCTCTTTCCTTTGCCCCCCGGCTGCAGGGGGGCGCCTGGACCAGCTCTCTTGCACGCTGCCCAAGGAGCTGAGGGGAAAAGACATGCGCGTGGTCCCCATGGAGATGTTCAACTACTGCTCGCAGCTGGACGACGAGAACAGCTCCGCCGGCATGGACGCCCCGGGGCCACCCTGCACCAAGGCCAGCCCGGAGCCCCCTAAGCCCAAGCCCGGGGCGGAGCCGGAGCCTGAGCCCAGCACAGCTTGCCCTCAGAAGCAGCGGCACCGGCCCGCGAGCGTGCGGCGCGCCATCGGCACGGTGATCATCGCCGCGGTCGTCTGCGGCGTCGTGTGCATCATGATGGTGGTGGCGGCTGCCTACGGCTGCATCTACGCCTCGCTCATGGCCAAGTACCACCGCGAGCTCAAGAAGCGCCAGCCGCTGATGGGAGACCCGGAGGGCGAGCCCGAAGATCAGAAGCAGATCTCCTCCGTGGCCTGAGCGGCGTCCCTACCCGGCCCAGGTAGGAAGGGCAGGAAGAACGCGCAGGCCCCGCCTCCCCAGCCCCACGTCCTCCTCACCCGTGGTGCACTGGCCGCAGCATCGGTCTCCATGAACTTTAAGCCCGCCTGGAGCCGCCGAGCGCGGAAGGCTCCCACTGGTGCCCCTCCCTGGGCCGCCAACTCTCTGGAGTTCCCGGGGCCTGTTCCTAAGCTTGTGGCACGGGGAAGACGGCACGCGTGCCCCACAGGAGCTTCCACGCGCCGAGCACCCGCTGTGGCCTTTCCTTCGGGGGTCCTCACAGCTGGGCGACTGGTCCCCATTAGGGAGTGGGGGCCGTGATGTGGGGCCAGGGGCACGTTCTCTGACCTCCCCTAAGGCAGAGGGCTTGCTCTTGGCGCCCTGCGGGGGAAGGTCAGGTCCGCAAACAAACAAATGCACCAGCTCCGGCCGCCCCGCACTTGGCACTTAGACACGCGACGGGACGCTGCACTCCTCTAACTTGTTGCCTGGCGCTACCGTGTCCGCCACAGAGCACACTGCTCCCGGAGCCTCCAGCTCGCCCTCGCCGGCACAGTTGCCCAGGTGCGCGCTCGCACATATGCACACACAAACACACCCACAGCACGCAGCCGCCCAGGCCGGGGCCGCGGGTCTCTGCCCCAGGCGCGGAGCCTCCCGCGCTCACCGAGGTCTCCTCCGCCAGCAGGGGGAGGAGCCAACCGTAAAGTGGGCCAGAGCAGCGCTGCGGGGACTGCGGTCGCCGTGGCAACACGCTCACGCCTCCCTTGGGCTTTCCAGGGAGGCCTGGAAGCTGCAAGCTGTGTGGACGGCAGTCCCTGGGGCCCAGCCTCCAGCCACTGGGTGTTTCCTCGGCCCCGCCCCGTGCCTCCCCAGGCCGGGCCCTGGGGGACACCCCCCAATTACACTCCTGTAGCCTGCAGCCTCAGCCCCTCCAGCTTCTGCAGCTTCTGGCCTGGGATCTCAGGGCTGGGATCGGGTCGTGCAAGGTGACCAACGGCCCTCCTGGAAGGAGGCAGGTGGTGAGCAGAGAGACAGACTCTCTCTGTCTGTGGCCCAGACAGACTCCCGAGCAGGCACCAGGCAGCCGCGTTCTGTCTAGAGACTTCCACCATGCGCTTCCTTTCGCCAGGGTGTTGTCTGCGCAGCCCGGCTCCCCAGGACTATGGGCTGCATCTGCACCGGGGTCCACACCAGCCTGTGAGCCGGGGCTCTGTTTGGGGCAGAGATACTGCCTCCAGGGACTCTTCCTAGTTGTAGCCCCTCCGCGTGAGTCTGATGTGAGTCCCTAGGGAGTCCCCAGGTTTCCCTCTGCTGGGCACTGGCTTTCTCGTGCTTAGAGGGGGCCAGGAGGCGCCAGGCTGGCTTCTGGTTCTGACGAGGGTCTTGGTAGCACTGGGAGAGGACAAGGCAGACACGGTGGGCAGGGTCTGTGAAGGGTGTCAGGGCAGAACGGGGCGCCTCCTTGTGGTGGCAGGGGTGCCTTTGAGGTCATTCCCCAGCTGGTGTGCAGGGGCCCTCTGGGGCACAGGCTGCACATCGGGATCACAGGCTCCCCTAAACTGGGGCACAGTCTCCCTTCTTTTGGATTGAGAGCTGACCCCAGGATTGGAGATTTTCTAAAGGGAATGGGGGAAGGGAGGGTACTGTCATTGGTGGTATCTTTAGCCTGAGACAGCAGATTTTTAAAGGCAAAATTATATTTCTGGTTTGTTGTTTCAGAAGACCAATAAAGACTGTATTTTCCTATGTACTTACTGCCTTTATTGAGAGGGAACGGGGCGTGCATGGCTGGCAGAGCTGCTTCCTGCCCCTCACCTTCCCCGGCAGCCAAGTCAAGCGCTGAGGGCTACCACCCTGGCGCTTAGAGCTGCGTAGGGCACCTTGGGCACCAATGGGGATGCAGGGGTGGGGGCCGAGGCCTGCATGGGAGGAGGCTCTGGGGCTGGCATGGCTCAGCTGGGATTCACAGGCCACCCACCCTCCAGCACATGAGCCTCAGGGTGCTCTCTGGGCAGCGAGGGGCTTGTGGACTGAAGGGGGTGGACTGCAGGCCCTGCCCCCGCACCCCTGGGGTTCATCTGGCCCTGCCTGATGCAAATCCGTGCTGGCATCAGCGACAGATGGTGAGAAGGGGCTCATTTGCCCAGAGGAGGGGGAGGGCAGCTCGAGGGGCTTCTCTGCCTGCCCTGCTGGCTCTTATTAGCTCGGGAGAGGCTGATGAGTTCGCCTCATTTAACCCCTTACCATCTCGTCCTTTCACACTGACACCAGGCACATGCCAGCCACACTCTCGGCTTAAAGTCGGGGTCCTCCACGGGGTACAGAGGGTATGGAGTTGGAATGGGGGACCAGGGGGCTGGGGGCGGTGAGTAAGAGGACTTAGTGCCCCATGGCTCCCTGTGGGCAGGTGACCGCCTCAGGCAAAGACAATGGCCCAGTGGGCCAGGAGCGGCCAGGAGCAGTGAACCACGAGGGGCCCCGTTCCTGGAGCTCAGACGCGCAGAACGGGTGGCGAGGAGCGTGGGACTCCTCATGCCCTGCACAAGGCTGTGGAAGGCATCCGTGGGTTTTCCCAGTGTTCCCAGAGGAGGCTCCAGCACCATGGCCTGAAGGCCGTGCTCCAAGGGAAGGACACCACATACTACTTGCCCTTGCCCCAGTCAGTGGGCAGGGCTATGGGCCTGGCTGTGGGCAGGAGCATGTGGTGTGGGGGCACTGGAGGCCCCGCGCCTGGGAGGCCACTGCCCACTGCTCCGCCTGATCCTCAGCAAGGCCCTGACAACAGATCCCCATCAGAACGTTTGAGTTGTGCAAGTTTTGCTTAAGCCCTTGAAAAACCGCCTCCTTGGAGGTGAGCAGGACCCCTCGCCATGCACGTGTGCCGCTGCGCGACCCGGAGCAAGGTCACACACCGCAAGCCGCCGCCCTGGGGGCCCTTCTCCCTTCTTCCCTTGCTCAGTGCACAAACGTCGCACAAATGCAGCCCCCACCACACTGGGTCCCCAGCCTCCCTGCAGGGAAGCAGACCGTCACCTCCTCTTTGAGCTGCAGGCCCCAGCCGACCCCAGGAGCAGAGAGGCGGAGCCAGAAGCCAGGGAGAATAAATTACAAAGGAAGACAAAAAAAAAAATTGAAGTCTCAGGTCTCTAGCGCCTCATCCTTTTCCTGTCACATCCATGCACCCTAGAGCGTAAGAGCAACTGTCTGCAGCGAGTTAAACCCACGGCACTGGGACACGGTTTCTATGGCAACCCCTCCTGTTCTAATTCTGCTCAGAGTTTAAAATGTTATCAAATAATTGGGGAGCACAGGAATGCACAGCCAGCAGCTTGACCCCTCCTCCCTTCTCCTTGAGAGGCCACACCGTGGGGCGCAGGGCGGGCACAGGCTCAGGAGACCAACCTCGGGAAGCAAGGGGGTGGATGCCTTCTCAGTGCCACAGCCTGCATCCTGCAGACCCCCAGAGACACACCTGCTTCCCACTGAATGCAACGTTAGATGGTGCTGTTCTCTCTCCTCCTCTAATCGCAGCGTGAGAACAGCCTGGTAAAAGGGTGGTCCTTTTACCCTCTCAGGCTGGGAGACAGAGCCCCACCCACTCTTTCCGCTCTTCTGTCCTGACCTCAGCCTGGGGTGGGGGCACACGGACCCTGCCTCTCTCCCCAGAATTCCTTGCCCTGGCCAGGCCTCAGGCTAACAAAACAAGTGCCTGATAGGGAGGGTGGAGCAGCCCTGAGCAGCTGCGGGAGTGGCCACTGGATGGCGCCACTTTGTAGAACTGAGCTAGGGCTAGGACAGAGATGCTGAAGCCCGGGTCAGGAGGACCACCAAGGATGTGTGAGGCCCTGAGAAACTGCCACATCAGGGGACACCTGTGGGCGTCATGGGGTGCTGGCGTCCCAGCGTGGAGAACGCTGGCCCTGGGGGGCGGGCTGAGGCCACAGCCTGGCTCCGTTAATCACTAGCTGGACTTTGGGCATATAACTGTCCTCATCTGTAAGGTGGAGCCCCCATCACCTTCTGTAGAGCACCCTGAGGACTGCACGGGAAAGGGTGTGGGAGGCGGTTCCCACGGTGCCTGGCGCGTGCTGAGCTCACATATGGAATGCCCACTTTAGGGACTGAGTCACAAGCCCCTCGTCTTGTGAGTGGGTCCTGGAGCCTGAGGCAACAGAAGGGGGATGGGGGGGGAGGTCTGGGCTGCAGTCTCTGTCCTGGGTAACCTTGCGCAGGTCTCTCAACCTCTCTGGCCGTCACTGTACTCACTTGTTGAGCCCTTTTAGGTTTTATAAGCAAAGTGGCTCAGAAGAGCCCCCTTTCCCTCATGCCCACACTCCACGTGGAAGGTCAAGGGCAGCCGCAGGACGGTGGCCCTGGCAGGCCCCACGCGGGGGGCCTCCTGCATCCCCCATGGCCTTATCTGTGTACACTGGCCGCAGCGGGCAGCACGTCCTACCTGCAGCCACGGCCGTCTTCTCGTCCACTGTCACCACCACAGCTGTGCTCGCCGTCACCGCCAGCGGCTCCCCCTGGCTTTCTGGGGAGACAAAAATCATGAGGTCACCTTCTGAGCACCTGGGAGCAGAGCAGTGACTGAGCCCTGGCGCCCTCATGGACGACAAGACACAGATTCCAGCTTCAGACATGGCTGGACTAAAACAAGTGGGGGGGGGCTGTGCGGGGACCTTGCTGCTGGAGGAGGGGTCACTGCCAGCGCCAGTCTCTGCATGGTGCTTCCTAGCATCAGGCACTGCCCGTCTGACCGACACGCGGCCCCGAGCGCCTGAACGACACCGCACTGCCAGCGCCAACATGACCCCGTGGCTTTCACCTTGTCTCAGGGCGGCACACCTGTCTGCCCACTGCCGCCTCACCTGAGCTCCAGCTAGCACAGCTCAGGGACCCTGGGGGGCTGTCCCCTCCAAGGACAGGTGACTTGCGCTGCACCACAGGGTGCTGTGGAGCTGAGGGGCCTGCTTCGTTCCAGGACTGGGTGGTGGGTGACCCTGGTGCCCTTAGTAAGTCAGTGGTGACACCCGCAGTCAGGCTAGAAGCCGCGGACGAGTGGCACAGAAGTCCCCGTCTTTTCCCTTCTTTTGGAAGCACCAGACCTCCGTGGGAAGAAAGGTAGCCAGAGCTCCAGGGAGCCAGGGCGGGTAGGCTGCTCCCTGCCCCCAGTTCGTAGTTCTCACCGCCCAGCCCCGGAGCAGCTGGTGGAAGCACCCTTGCCTGGATGTCACGCAGCCTCCCTTGGTGCTGGCCTGTCGTGTGCCGGTGCCACGGGAGACAAACAACCCTCGGGAATCACTTGTGGAGGGCATTGCTGCCAGGGCATCGCCGCAGCGGGGCTGCAGCTCTGCTGTTTCGAGTCCATTCTGTTGCCTGGTTTACCCTCGCTGGCATCAACCATCTCACAGAAATCTAAAATTGCACTCTGATGCTAGGAACTCGCAATACCCAAGATGTCCTTGATTCTGGACATCTGCCGCAACGAAGTCAAAGTCCACTTCCTCACCTTGGTTCTAGACACATCTAGAAGATACTAAGTGGCTGACGGCCTGCCGTACTGCTGGTCTCTGCAGCCTGCTTCCCGAGACAGATCTCTCACTGCATCCGTGCAGCGGCCAGCACAGGCTCCCAGCAAGCACTCAGGTGAGGGCGTGGAGACCCGAATCACAGAGTCTCCAGGGACATCTGGAATTCGAGGGCCTGCGTCACAGCAGCTCCCTGGCCCAGTGCCCTTGGGGAACCTGCAAGGGTCTGAGTGCAGGAGGGGCAGGGCTCAGGCAGCAGCCCAGGAAGAAGCTGCAGGGGAGGGCGAGCAACTGCCCTGAGCCTCCCGGGCGGTGGCGAGATTCTGCCACGCCTCTGCTGGTGGCAACAGATAGCTCTGTGCAGGCAGAACTCAGCCTGCGGGCCCCAGCCAAGGGCACAGCGCCCCCTGGGAGCCACGAGGCCTCCACTGACTCTGCAGCCTGCGTCTCCCCTTCCCCTCAGCCTGCTCAATGCAGATGCTTTTCTCCTTTGGGCTGGATGGGAGAACACAGGCATCCTTGTGTCTCCCAGCTTGTGCATGAGCTGAGCAGGAGAGCAAGGCCGTGCAAGGGAGCGCCTGCCTCTCTCCCCGGCAGCCTCCCTTCGGTCGCCAGCTTCAGTTCCCTGCCCACCCACCGTCCCCGCTCACCGAGACATCAAGCCTCCTCCTCCAACCCCGAAGCCAGCAAGCAGAGTCCCGGTGACAATGCAGGCAGGGAGGACCTGGCCAGGAGCCTGTGGGTGCCCCTCCCAGGGGCTGCAGAGGCTGGTAGGGGCAGGGAGGAAGGCTGCCTCTCTCTGCTGTGGGGTCAGGAGTGGGCAGCGGGAGAAGTGACCCTTCCCCCTGGCTCTGAGAACCTGCCTCATGGGCTTGCCTTGGATATAAAAATTACCCTCTCCCCTCCCCCTTCTGCTCTGTGTCCAGCTTTCGTCCAGTGGGCAGGGCTGACCTTGGCTCTCGCCTGGCTGTGTGACTCCCTTGCTGTGTGTCCTGGGCAAGTCACGGAACCTCCCTGAGCCATGTGTGAGGCGAGGGGCAGTGATCACACTAACCTAACCAGGCTGTGCAGGTTGAATGAGTGCTGTGCGGACTGGAACGCCCTTTAGTTCCGGTGCCTGGTGGAGGGACCAGGTGTGAGATGGGCTGCACTTCCCTGCTCTTGGCCTCTGGACCCACCCCTCAGTCCCTCAGGCCACAGTCTCTTTGCATGTAAA